TACCTAATAAAGTGGCCGGTGAATGTATATATGTATTCATTTCATGTAAATTACATGTACATCATCAATTTAGCACCTTTGGCTCATCGGTAATATTCTGCTCCATTAACACATTCATTTTATTGTGATGGTTTTGTATAATATGCTATATTACATGATTTATAGACTTCATTGACTTCATAATGACTATGCAATGTGATGGGCCTATTTTTTTATTCTAAGTTAAAGTTAATCTACTGATGCTATGAAGCAGCCAGTCTGTGTCAAAGTGATGAATTTATCTTTATTGTAAAAGTCTTCAGTCTCCCTGAAAATGAGAACATCATGGTTGTTTGATGCTGCAGCGCACAGATTGTTTACATTCTGACCGGTCTAACTAGGGAGTACCAATATGGCGGTCGGTGGCTTCATTCCACCCTGTACTACCAACTGACTATCAGTAACCCTGTGATTAGTTCCTTTATGATCATTTGTTTATTGATGAGCTCAGACCCTTCTGCTGCTGTTCTGCTCTATTGATGATGTCATCAATGACACAGAGCAGGAGCTGCAGGTGATAGTGGATCCGGGATTGTTCATCATCAAAGAGAAACACCGATCCATCTGAAAGTCACTCTGAGGGCACCTGAAGACCGACCCTAACTCTGCACGAGCTGTTCTGTGATTGGAGCGCTGTCATAGATGGAACATTTTCCTATTGGACAGCGCAGCAAGGGAACCCGCCCAGGATCTTTGCTGACGTCATGAAAGGACAAACTGATTTACCGCGAGGTCATCCAGCCTCTCCTACGAGCAGCCGGCTGCGGGAAAGCGGAGGCGCCATCTTGAGATCCTGAAAGTGAGTTTATATCGGATTAATCCTCTGCGTTAGAAAGAAAACATCAGTAACCATCTTAGAGAGGACCAAGCGGCTCACCGCTGGGGGGTTCCAGACTATGTGGGTTAATGGGGGGGTTAAAGCGGACTGTAACCTTGATCAACCCCTCAGAGTTAGCTCAGCCTTTAGCTTTAGCCTCAGTCTGAATGCAGAAAAGGACGCCGCGGGTTAGAGAAGGGAAGCAGCTGCAGGGCTCCTGCTAGAGCAGCTGTTTCTGGAAACATGGCTGCTTTGTTAGAAATGTGAGCAGTCTCTCCACAGGTCACCTCGCGCTGTAGCAGCACGTGACCCAGCGGTCCTTGGTTCAGATGTCGGGGGTGGATTAGGTTACTGGTTAGCTCAGGCTAACGGTGTCTGTCCTGATCTCCGCAGCGTTGCTCCGCCACCATGTACCCCACTTCTCTGACGCAGCTGGCGCGGGCCAACCCGTTCAGCGCGCCGCTCTTCTCCCTCCAGAAGTTGGAAGAGCCCCAGCAGAACCTCCGCGGACAGAGGCCCCGCAGACTGGCAGCAGCTGCAGCGGTGGACGGTAAACCCGGCGCTGGGTCTGCTCCTTAGCAGCGCAGCTAGCTTAGCCCTGTCAGTCACAGAAAAGGGTTTATTAACTGCTTCATTCCTGGATCAGGCCGCAGTGAAGGACGAATGTCCGTTAGCATGTTAGCGGCTAACGTTAGCATCTGATGTTAGCGGCTAACGTTAGCCGCTCACATTAGCATCTGATGCTCCTACTGATTCGAGGTCAGTTTATTGAAGCATAAGCAGCAGTTTGATGATTAACAGAACCAGACCTGAACAGAGAATCATTTTATTGGTGGAAAAGTTGATAAATAAGCAGGTTTCTAATCCATTGAACCCATGGAATAGTCTACCTGAGATTAGCCTTTCAGTCACACTTTAACACTATGGCAGACTGTTAACTTTATACATTCCTATGCTGACATTTTAACAGTTTATGTATTTAAAGTAATTAAAGCACTTGGTTATAAAACAGTCAGTGGTTTCTAATGTCTGCTGATAAATGTTATAACATCAATAAAAACTTATCAGAATTTGTTTTATTTCACTATTGCTATTTATAGCAGAACTGTTATTTATGCAGTTAAATAAATCCCTGGTCTTTGCAGATTTAACGTCAACTCTTTCTATTTGAGCAAAAGCATAAACTAAACGGCTAAATTCAGTTTTTGTGGGGTGTTCTCAGAGGTTCTAAGGTAGAGTCCGACTCCCACAGACTGCCACTCTGGGCCCCTGAGCTGGACCTTTAACCCCACACTGCTCCCTAAGTGGATGGGTTAAATGCAGAGAGGGAATTTCTCCAATGTGAGATCAATAAAGATCAGTTATTATTTATTGTCCCATAATGTGGAAATTACTGTTACAGCAGCAAAAGTTTATAGAAGTATCATAAGAATAAATAAAATGATGCATTTTAAAGTGTTTTTGCAACATAAAGGCATTGAGAGAATAAATGACCGATATGTCTGAGCGCTGAGGTTCATAGAGCAGCCTTTGACTACAGATTTATTTCCAATTGAAATGCTGAATGTTCCTTTTAAACCTTGATCAGCTTCCTCCTCACTTTGTTTCTCCAGAGGGGGACAGTTGTGAGTTCGGCTCTCAGAAGTATTTAATCCTGTGTGGGTTTGGGGGGATTCTGAGCTGTGGCACCACCCACACCGCCGTTGTTCCTCTGGACCTGGTCAAATGCAGGATGCAGGTCTGTTTAGCGGCCTCCTCGCTGCGCCGCCATCCCCTCCCGCCTGCATGCTGGAGGTCCTTTAATGCCGCTGCATGTTAGCCACCCTTCACATCCAAACAGTCTGTCCCAAGGGTCACCTTGGACCGGCCTGCTCATTGCAGGAGACGAAGGACAAACGAAGAGCCTGTAGATCAGATCAGAGGGGAGCCAGCACATGGTTCTGCCTTCAATAGCAGCAAGTGGTTCTGATCGGACCTCCTGCAGGAGGCGGTCTGATCAGAACCACCTGCATAGACTGGAAACAAGGTTCTGGTTCCTATGGACCGGCAGAATGGACCGACCAGCCTTCATCAGGAGCCGCTGCTCATCTTCACCACCATCCAGAACCGCTCCGGTCCACAGAGAAACGACCGGTGGACCTGGTCAGGGTCAGAGGTCAGCTGCCGTTCTGTCAGACTAGCATACCCATAGTCAGTACGCACACAAGACACCAGATTTACCTTTATCCCTTTAGTTTTGTACGAAAAATAGACTTTATACTTCCTCAGTGGGCGTGTTGCCCTGTAGTCGTGTACAAAAACCATTTAAGGTCAGATGGCCGCACGCTTCATGCTAAACTGAAGGGCTACACGGGTTTTTAGTCTGGGTATGCTGGTCTGACAGAACACTGTCTCCAGGGTGGCGCTGTGGAGCCAGTTTATTGAACCACAGATGAAAGCGGATCAGAACCCAGCTGGTTCTGGTTCCCCTCCGGACCGGTTCCTGGTTTTAGAGTCTCGAACAGAAACAGGCTGGAAGAATCGATTCCTCAGAGCGAAGCTGCATCTAACTCATTGATCTGACCGTAACGCTGTGATCCACTATGAATGATCTGATGATGTGATTTATTTCTGCAAATCATCTTTGCTGTGATTTTGAACTCATCTGCATGTTGGTGGCAGAGTTTATGGAGGCGGAGCCTGCTGTGCGCTGCTCCTCCTCCGTAACCCTCTGCGTTGTGATTTGTCTCCTGTGTTGCATGTTTCCCGGCATGCTGCGTGTGTCGTGCCCCCCCTCCTCCTGCCACAGAGGATGTCAGCTGCGAGTTTGGCTCCTCCAAGTACTATGCCCTCTGCGGCTTTGGCGGCATCCTGAGCTGCGGCCTCACGCACACCGCAGTCGTGCCCCTCGACCTGGTCAAGTGCCGTCTGCAGGTATGGAAACGGGTTCTGAACGGCCTGGGCCACCGCTGAGTTTCTGGTAAAACCGCAGATGATGCGTTGGTCTCTGACATCAGAACCTCGCTGTGACCCAGACGGGTTTCCATCAGAACATGAAGCTGGTTTAGATCCTGTTAAAAGGATCCAAAGGCCCAGAGTTCTGGGCTTTAGCGCATGCTAACAGCTAGCATGTTGCTAGGGGATCTTAAAGTGACCCGGTGGAGTTCTGCAGTCCTCACCTGACCGATAACTGAAGCTTCTCCTCTTCAGGTGAATCCAGACAAATACAAGAGCATCGGTAACGGCTTTGCGGTGACGGTGAGGGAGGATGGCTTCAGAGGCCTGGCTAAGGGCTGGGCCCCCACCTTCATCGGCTACTCCATGCAGGGGCTCTGCAAGTTTGGCTTCTACGAGGTCTTCAAGATCTTCTACAGCGACATGCTGGGAGAGGTGAGTTCAGCCCGTCTGTTGGGACTATCTTTCTTACTGCGGGTCAAACGCTCGCTTCTAAAACCCACTACAGCCACGACTGCTTTCCCAGTGGGATCAGAGGCCTGGATCCTAACAGTGGAGGTTAAACGTCTGGATGTTCAGGCAGGGGGCAGTTCGGTCCCAGTCCTCCCAGTTAGGCCCCCAGTGGAAAACTTAGAAAATAAATATTTAGTGTTAGTTGACTCCAGAACAACCACTGTTAATACCCCTCTAACTTCATGTTAAATAAGAAAACATGGACTAATTTGATGGCAAAATGAATCTTAATGTAAAAACAAAAAGCTCACTTACCGTAATGAACAACAAAGCGTGCTTCTATAGACACCGAAAGAAACACTTATTTTTGTTACATATAGCTTTAATGCCGATGAAGACGCTTAGATTTTATTTTTTTTTTTTTTTTGTCCGATCAGCAGGAATAATCTAATGGATCATAATCTAAAACTAATCTGTTTGCTGTGATTTAATGAGTTTAGCATTTATTACTAAACAAAATATTTTTCGTGGCGATCACTGAGTCTGGGAGCGGCCATTTTTGCCCAAATATAGTAACCCCTCCCTCCTGCCATCTTCCAGCAGTGACGTCACGGTGCGGTAAGCCTAGCGCCATTCTCCCCGCTTTCCAAGCTAAATCAATGGAAACTACTAGACACATCTGCAATCAACAACAATTATTGAAGATTTCCAGAGGACTTCACCATTGAAATTCACCAGAGCTATAGTGAAACTGACAATGCCCACGTGCATGGCAGCTGGATGCTGGAATACATCGGGTAAAAGAGTTATTCCACCTTTCTGATTCCTGATCCTCCACGGACGAAAATTAATCTGAAATAAAAACACTGATCATTTATTGAACAGGATGGAATAATTTCAGATTTAAAGAACTTTCAGGAGTTTTTATTCTGAATGAGCTGACCTTTAACTGTTTTCCACTTTATCTACAGTAGGTAATCATTCTAAAAACGGTAACTCGCCCTATAAAGGGTTAATAGTTGTTCTCAGGTCCATTTAGACTCTAATCATGACTGAGATGAGAGCAGAACCAGAGAGCGAGGTAACAGGAGGAGGCTCAGCTGCTGGAGGGGTCATGACCTTTAGGGGAGAGTGCTGTTGGCGACCTTCCTACCTTCATCTCAGGCTGGGGGAACAGGAACTAAAACTATAGAAAATAAGATGTAATTCTGATTTATGGAGAAGTTTCTGCTGTGTGGTGAAAATAAAATGGCTTCCCAATAAACTGAAGGAAATCAGTTTGTTTCTGTCCAGATATTATAACCCAGGACAGCGGTCCGTCCTGATTGGTCGAACTCGCTGTTGGAGGCTTAGATTAGCATTAATCTCAGGAACCAGGAAGCTTCTAGATGCTGCAAAGCAGATTTTCTTCTGAAATCTTTGAAACGATCAGTGATGATGGCAGCAGAGAGCTACTCCTGGTACGCTGAGCTCTCTACCTGCAGGTATGCTCATCGTCCACCAGAGGGCAGCAAAGAAAACAGGTTTATCAATCAGTCCAGCATGAAACCCCAGCTTAGGATGGTTTAACTGATGTTTAAATGGCTGCTTCCTGCAGTCCCTTCAGAGGACGGCCTCTGGTGTTCCTGTTTGTTAGGAGCTGATGGGGGAGGGGCTTCTGGGCGGTTCTGATGGCGTGTCCCCTCCCAACAGGAAAACGCCTACCTGTGGAGGACGTCCCTGTACCTGGCTGCTTCTGCCAGCGCAGAGTTCTTCGCAGACATCGCCCTGGCTCCCATGGAGGCCGCCAAGGTCCGGATCCAGACGCAGCCCGGCTACGCCAACACCCTCAGACAGTGCGCCCCCAAGATGTTTGCAGAGGAAGGCCTGTGGGCGTAAGTCTGCTTGGGTTTGAGTGACAAACACGCTCCTTAGATCCACCTCTGGAGGACCTGGTCCTCAGCAGCTTCTTGCTGTACTGTCGGAGGTGCTTGAGTCATTGGCGTGTGACAGCAGTCTACCTGCCCCCCCAGCCCAGCTGCAGCGCCGGCCGCCCGGTCCTCTGGGACTGGGAGCTCCCGGCGCTGCCAGTCTGGGGGGCGGACATCTTTAGTCGCCTCAGCAGGGGGTCCTTCCTGATGTCAACCAGTGTCTGTGTCCCTCAGGTGTGTGGAAGGGTCTGGTGGCGCGTATCATCATGATCGGTACGCTGACGGCCCTGCAGTGGTTCATCTACGACTCTGTTAAGGTCTACTTCCGCCTGCCCCGCCCCCCTCCCCCAGAGATGCCCGAGTCCCTGAAGAAGAAGCTGGGCCTCACAGAGTGACCCTGATCCGCCGCCGCCCTCCGCCTGAAACGTCTAAACTCACTGCAGCGCCATCTGCTTCCTGCTCCACCAGCCCCTCTAGAAACACCTCTATGGTTTTATTGGTTCCTGTCTTAGAATTAATATGTGGAAATTGTAATAAAATGGTTTCCCTGGAATAAAGAGGCTATTTGGTGGAATCATTGCTGTCTGGTTCCTCTCCTGACCGCAGCAGCAGCAGCAGGGCGGGAGGTTCAGAGGAAGACTCCAGTCTGCACAGCCGCTCCCATGCCAGGGTGGAGCTGGTAGCATCAGGAGCCCTGAGGCCGCCGTTCCCGCCTGGCGCGCCCGTCTCTCGGCTCCCAGCTGATGGAGGTTAGGGGGGTTTTACTGAAATCTGAATCAGAAACGTCTAAAATATGTTCTCAGACCGTCAGTGTCTCCATGGTTACCGGCTGTGACCCTGGTCTTCCATTGAGGCGTTCTGCAGTTCATGGAGGGAACATGGACGGCATTGTTCCATTTATGGACGGCACTGAGACTGATCTGTTTCCTGCAGAGTTGATCGTCCCACAGAAACCCGTTTATTCTCCATCAGCCTGATATCAGGCGCTCTGATGGTCGCCTTCACAAGCGGCGTCACCTTTCAGGCCTCGCCGCTCTGTTTGCTGCTTAATGGCCCATCAGGTCTGCCATTAGAGTCCCTCTGGTTTAAAGGGCGTTTGGTCGCCAGCAGCTTTCAGGGATTTTCTTCTTCTTCTGTGCAGAAGGTTGCAGCAGAGCGAGCGCCAGTTGTCTGCTAATGGATGAGAGCTCAGGGGTCATGGGAAATGGAGTCCATTTCCCTGCTGCGCTCTGCTGGCTGATGGAATAAAACGCTTCATGGAGCCATTAGCCTCCGCCTCGTTTTCCCTTCCTGCTGCTGGAAGCTGATGATCAGAGTTTATCTGCTGTTTGGGTCGTTAGCGTTAAAATCTGGATAAACGTTCCTGTTGGTATGAAAACATTCATGGACACTTTAAATATTTAAGCTATGAACTTTATCCAGGTAGTTACTGACAGCGTTTCTGGTAGAATGATGAATAAAATGAGTGACTGAGCAGAAATGCAGGTCTAATAATTGGAAGCCGACGGATTGCGTCACAAAAATCTGAAGGCAGATTATTCTGATCTGAAGAATTAGCATCAGGTCGGGATTATGATCATAAACTAACTAGAACTGAATTTCTCAACCGCTTCATGCATCGATTTTATGCTTTATCAGTTTGATGGGAGGAGCTGAACGGTGGAGCATTGCAGCAAGAAGGTTCTGGGTTTGATTCCCGGCCCAGGGTTGCATGTCCTCCCTGAGCATGCATGGGTTCTCTCTGGGTACTCCTTCCTCCCACAGTCCAGAAACATGACTGTTAGGTTCATTGGCTGTGTATAAATATCTAAAATCTTTTATAAATGGATCTATATAATCTGACCTGGTGTGATCAGCATCTAGAATAGAAAATGAAAGAAATGCAAACAGCCAATCATCATTTAACTAATCAGTCTAAATAATGTTACCAATTAAAGAGGAGAAAACGGAGCAGGGTTCCTCATTGCTCACGTCAGACTGCCACATCAGCGTGTTTGCTCATGGTGCGTTCAGAGACGGCTTGGAAAAATGAGTTACTGTGCTCTAATAACGGGTGTAACTGAAAAACCTATGCACTGCTATAAGAAAATGATTGAAGATCTGAGTCCTCAGAGGAGCAGACACCACCTCAAAGGAGCAGGA